CCGCGGGTTGGCTATCGTCGTTATACTGCTGAATACAGATATGGCAGATTCAACTTCAAACAACCTGCAAGCGACATAGCGGATTATCCCTCTGCTTCCAAACAGACGTATGGCATTAATTGCATCAACAATAGCATGAAGTTATTTTGAGGTTTTTCCCTTTTATTTGCAGATTCTTAAGATCTAAGAAAAGTGCACTCACTAGCCCTCAATGTACTGATTAATCTTTTTCTATAATACAGGTACATAAAAGGCCAATTTCATGATGTGCTATTTATATAGCCACCATTAGTTTTGATATATTCAAATGAAATGTGCTCATTTTATTAATATGATTTGAGTTCAATCCAATTCCCTTTGGGTTTATGGGATGTAAGTAAGATAAAGCAAGTCAATATTTTCCATGTTTCTGGCTGATGGCAGCGTAACAAAGTTTGGGGGAATGGATTCCCAGGAGAATGTATCAGAAGTGTTTTTCTAAGGAAGAAACCTCATATGAGCCCCAAGGGCACACATACAGTATAGTTCTGTCTATTAATGTGAACTCTGGGGATAAACTGTATTTTCTCTCATGTTAATAAATCCAACAAAAAGACCAAAACCGACAATGACCTCTCCTTCTAACATTAATCATCAGTTTATCTAAAGCCTGATGTATCTTTCCCTAATGTGCCTTAATGCCAACAATCTATAATAAAGTATAACAAACAACAATGGGCCACACTGTTACACTTGGTGACAGTTTCCTTCATCACCATGAACACACACACACACACACTTTTTATTTGACTTAATCCCACAAAAACCCTCCTGCTGCCCCAAATACTCACTAGAGCACCACATGTGTATTAATCCCCATGCCAGACCGGGGAAGTAAAAATAATAAAGCATTAAAGTTGGACTCCTTTTGGACATCTTATATTTGTACGTTTAAGCTGCTAGTAGTGCTTTTTTTTTAATGATTTGAATATTTAAAATCAGTTATTTACTTCTGCTTTATGTGACACACTAACATTGTAGTAGTTTGCTTCAGTTGTGGCTCAAACTCTGGCAGACATTCAGTCTGTTGATAAAGAATTAACGCAGAAAGGTTTAACAACACAAATGGAGCCCATGTCTCCTAGCCTCGGCAGATATAGATAGAACATACACTTGTGATGCTGATGAACCTGTGGCCCTGAGCGAACGGATTCTCAGGTATTGAGAGGAAGGCAGCTTTGTTGATCCAGGCTGAACCTTGACGTTGACGTCTCTGTGAATCAGAATCCAGGTTTTATTTCTACTCTGCATTTATCCAGCTACTCCTCAGCACCCATCCCCCGGAGTCATTTTTCTTACATATTGGGTCACATGACCTGTTAAGCTGATAAGAATAGTTAAATAGGTCAAATAGATGGGGAATTCCAAATGCAGCAGATTTGTTTAAGAGCAGGACAACCAATAAAGCCATTTATAACCTGCCACACAGCCACCATTGATGATTCCCTTTGAGAGACATGCGACAAAGGGTGTCGGCTTAAGCCACAATATATATATTTATAAATTGGTAAGGGGGTGGAGTCCAAAAGTGCTCTCTAGCTAAGTAGCCCTGTACACACACCCACATCTGGACCAGCCAAATTAGTAGGATGTCATTTAAATGTCTCGTCTAACTATTCCCAACCACATACTGTATGCAGCGTAAAATCTAAATGACATCACGTTACAGAAGAAAAGATGCTCTAAATAAAAGCTACCATTGTCCACTATATGACCAAGTTCAATTGTTAGTAAATCTTAATACTTTATAATAATATTTCGGACAGTAGCATTTTCCAACTTTGTGTCAAAGGTTTTTTGGGTTGTTTCTGTTTTGACATGACAATGCCCAAAAGAACAAAGTGAGGTCAATAATGAAATGTTTTGCTAGTTATGCATGGTCTGTACAAGCTCCAACATCAACGCCATACACGCCCTTTGCGATCCACTGAAATGCCAACTGCCAGCAAGGCCTCATCACCCAACATCAGTGTTGGACTTCACTCATGCTCTTGTGGCTGAGTTGGAGAAGATCCCAGAGTCCTTCCAGGCTCTTGCATATTCATGCATCAGTCGCAAGAGCCAACACTAACAGATGAACAAAAAGTGCTCAAATGAATAAAGTTGATTATGTTCTATGATTATAGTTATACTGAATAATGTGATACGGTTTAAACCAACATGTTGGCAAGCCATGCAACTATAAGCAATGTAATGTAATATATAAACTAGTGAAGATGTTGGAACATGCCTCTAAATGTTTTAACTTTTAATAAAGTCAATAATCTATAAAATCCTTAAAATCCCCAACATAGTTGTAGTTTCTTCTTTCTTATAGTGCACTTGCTGTCTGACACTTCAATGTTTGGAGACCTACCAGCTCAGAGGACTTTTGCAAACACAATATTCAGCCAGACACCGAGGGATTTTTGAGTCAATCCCCAGCCGGTTGGAAAACCGCACATCTCATGCAGAGACCCCGGGGTACAACAGCCACTGCCTTTAACATCCTTTCTGCTCTGTCACTAGAGAAAAACAGCCTGCTGCGTGTACAACACTTCAAAAGGGAAAAATGTTTTACAATTGTGTCAATTCTTCTACAAACCCAAAGGAAAAAACATTCTCCTTTTATATTGTCCCAAAGAAAGTTCTCAATGTCTTTATAAAATAACACATGATTGCGCTTTCTCGTTACTTTTCCAAACGAATCAACTTCAGCTTGGTCAATAGCCAGGGGGATAAAAAAGGACTATATTAACACTTCCTATCCAATTACATTCAATGTTATATTAGAGGACCAAAGGCAGACAGTTTGTTTTGTACTTGCTCTCATGATTAAAAGGACCTAAGAATGAAATAATCACTAAACACCTACCACTGTCAATCCTAGTAATGACCTAGCAACTGTTAACAGATACATTTCAAGCTTTTGATTTATACATGCTGAGGAGCTGTACATGGGACTGTATTCAGAGCAGGCAGAGTTCTGAAACCTAAGTAAGTTCAGTAAATTCAACTTAATCTTAAAGTCTAACTATTAACCAGCAGGGGACGACCTCATTAGCTGCAATATAAATCTGATTGCATAGAGGTCCATAAGAAAGTGTCCCTACTTTTAACTTACATTTTTACCTCAGTAAACATGAAGCTAATTCGTTTTTGGTCTCAATAAAGTTAAATACAAGACAAAGTTAATTTAGTAAATTAATGTCCTATTTTGAGTAAAACAAAAAATAAAGCATTGTAAGTTGTTGGGGTTTAGTTACCGTTTTTGTTTTAGGAATAAAACCCTTTTTTACAGTGTGTTTTCAGTTTGTGAAAGACACAGAAACCAAGATGGTAAAATTAAGGCCTAAAAAATGCAACCCGGTATCACGGCAAGACGTGAACATGTGACGATCTACCATGCTGGGAGACGTGAATATGTCACGGTTTCGTCCCTTCAAACGTGACAGTTACACGGTATTGTTAACATGGCCCAACCAGTGGAGAAATACCCGGAAGTGCCAAGCAAATGGTCTACCGCGCCTATTGGTCGGTTTTTATTGTCAAAATGAGATGTTTTTAATTTATTTTGTAATCGTCACACTTGATTTCGCCGATTTTCTTGTTGCCCTAGCTGGTCGACACCTCTTTTAGCAGAAACAAAGGCTACATTAATGTATTAAATCGATGTTAATCCATGTGTGTGGATCATAGACTGGTGTGGATGTGGAATTAACGGACGTGACGTTGTGCGATTGCGTTGCCAGGCAACGCAATTTACAAACTCTTCAACTACAACCCTAATTATATTTTAAAACATTTTAGAAGGCCTCACGAAATACTTTAATGTAAATTAAAATGTAAATGTGAAGGGATGTGTGTAATGTGGTGATTGACATTATTCACCCACGGATCTATGGGTTGGGGGTATTGTTCCGCACGGACATTTTAGTTAACCGGACTTACTGTTGATGTGAAATCCAAATTTTTTTTTAAAATAAAATAATACTTTATTCCGAGTTTGCTTGCTTTTCTGTTTGGAGGTCATCACATAACGGCATTGTAATACACGGTTCGGCTGCATTAAATATTACATATCTGCCGTAGTTCTGTATTTATAGAGCCCTGATGAGAAGACTTCTGGACAAACAGGAAGCACTGCCGCCAAAACTGAAAACGTGACGTGAATCATAAATATATCAGCAATTAAACAACATCTTACATTTCTTTTCACACAATACGTCTCCTTGCAGTATCAATACTAATTCGGCTGACTTTTATATTTGATCCAATTGGTAGATAGGCTGTATTTACACCATAACGGTGCACAGCTGATAGAAAGGCACATCTAGTGGCTAAAGCACGTTATTGAATTTTATTATTTTATTATTTTTCACAAAAATGAAACCATCAATAGCAGAAACAGAATTAACTGTAAACCACCCAAAAAAAAAGATCATAAGTGGTTTTGTTTTATATATATTTTAAGGATAATAATAGCAATGTAACACTGTCTATGACACTTACTGTATAACCAACACACTCTCACTCCCAACGCGTCCAGGAGCGACGCTTGGTCAGAATTCCGTGGCGTCCAGTTGTGACGCGCCGAGTTTCCATCAGCGTCATAAACGGATGCAAAGAGCTTTCAACTGATTGCAATGTATTCCCATCGGCGTCGGTATTTGACGCTTAGGGAAGCACGGCATTCGTTTGTGTCGGCAGCTGTTAAAGGCAATGTGAGCGTCCATTCCCATTGGATAACGGAGAATTGTACACCCGGAAGTAAGTATTCTCCTTACTGTCGATTGATTTGACAGTGATATCTCCATTACTCATCCACTCAAAAACACCAGATTACCTTTGTTAATTAAACGACATTGATAGGTTTAAATTGAGTACAATGCTTTTGTGTTTTTCCCCTACAATTCTGAGACAACTTGTTTTCTCTGAAATGTGGAGCGCCAAAGAGACTACACTACCCACAATCCCCAGCTATTGTTGTGACGACTTTTGAGTTTTGGATGGCCGAAGACACTACACTACCCACAATCCCCAGCTATTGTTGTTACGACTTCTGTCCGCTTTGCGATTACATTACCCACAATCCTCAGGTACCGTCGTAAAGACGGCATACCTTTGCACTTTACGTGACCAAACCTGGATGAGAGAGTCGCAGTTCTTCAGAATCAAGGTAAGAGCATGGGTAACACATAGTTATAGGAAATAAACTTAGCCACGAATAATAATAATAATAATAATAATAATCTAATCGGCGCCAATGTTGCTTCTGGCACCTTTCTGAGGGGTATAGTAACTAAATAATATAGGGTATTACCTAAATATAACAAATGAACTCGCCTGAGCTAGCTTGCTAGCTAGCTAGCTAGAACACGCACTGCAATTTCTCCATAGAATTTTGGAAAATAGCTCGAAATAAGGTCTGTGGTTGACACACATTTAAGAGACGGATCACGTTTTGTTCAGCCGGATAATCTCCACTCTACTAGGGTATTACCTAAATATAACAAATGAACTCGCCTGAGCTAGCTAGCTAGCTCAGAGACGGATCACGTTTTGTTCAGCCGGATAATCTCCACATGTCTACTCTGCTTTTATAATTTTCGAATCGTAAATCTATTAATAATACTTTGTATACATGTGTTTTTAGTATTAATAGTAATAATACTTTTATAATTTTTGTACAAATTACTTATTTAAATGACTGGTGGCAGTGATTTTGCTGTGCGATGGTGTGAAAATACCTTTAATGACAACAGTAGTAAGCATTAATTGGTTATTAGCCAAGTAGAAAATTGTAAACAACAACAATTACACTGGCATTGTTATTTTATTTTTGAGTTTCTAAATTATGTTGTTTTCTCTCAACAGATCCTGCAATTTGTTCTCCAAAAAACAACCCTTTGTTTTTCCAAACTCCAAACAACCCAAAGGCACTTTTAAGAGCCAAGTCTGTCTTGTTAAACTGTCCTTGCTGTGTTGTACTTGATAGTCTCTTCCTATCTCTCTATTTATTTCTCTGTCTAACTCTGTTGTCAGTCTTTCTTCTGTGTCTCTGTCTGTGTCTCTTCACTATAATGAGTGATTCTGATCTTGAGGATCTCCTGAGAAGCGCAGATGAGCTGGTTGAGCAGAAAGAGTTAAGGGATGACCTACGGAGTGCTGATGATTTGCTTTGTACTGCTACTGCTGCTGTTGTTGCTGCTTCCACTTGGAAGCGGCAACAACAGCAGCAGTAGCAGCAGCAGCAACAGTGCCAGCAGTGTCAATGATGTGCTGGAAGAAGAGAGACAGTGAGGGAAACTTGATCTTTGCAAGACCACGTTCAACCCGGAATGTCTCAAATCAGGGTCAGTATAAGATATATATTTCTAGGCACTTGAGTATATGAAATGAATGAAAACATAACTCTTGGTAAGGGAAAAGTAGTACAATTTAATGGTATAAAATAAATGTTTTTTCTGATACAGCTGGCTGCAGTCGTAACACTGATCCCCCCGTTGCTGCTCCTGACTGTGATCTGATCTTTGCTCCAGTTATCGCTCCAGAGACTGTTGGTATGTACTTCATTTGGTCTGGTTAGCCCGAAACACATATTCATACTTGTATCTTTATGTGATACGTACTTCATTTCTAAACTTCATAATTTGCTAGAATTAAAAACACAGTAGTTACAGCTTTCAAAACCACTCCATCCAGTATGTTTTAAAGAAAACTAATCATTGTGCTTTGGACTTTATTGTACCGTTTTAACAGAGGGGTTTCTACGAGATCTCCAGCAGTCTCTGAGCGATACTACAGGAGATGAGGTGGTAGCACAAACCCCAAGTGCTTCTCTGCTGGCATCGACCAACTGGAGCACTCGAAAAAGTTTTTTTTCAGAGAGCTGGAGGGCAGCGAGACCACATCTAGTTAACACCGTAGTGGCCCAAGCAAATGTGGGAACACACATTTGCCAACAGTGTTGGGGCAAAACGTCTGTTGTCCGGTGCCGGGATTGCCGACCACATCCCTTCTTCTGTGCTGACTGTGATGTCAGCATGCACTCCAGACACCCCCTCCACAACAGAGATGCTACTACTGCAGGTTACTTCCAGCCATTGGCCCCAACAACACATGTACTAAATATGGCCCTTTGCTCCTGTGGTAAGTTCTGGTTTGTGAATGTACATTTTCTTGCTGGACTTGTTGAGAATTTCATTTTGAAAATGTGAGCTTCCCAGCAGTGTGCTTAAGTCTCTTTTTAATGTTCTGATGTAAAGTTAAATCCTAAATATGTCACATAACAATGTAGTATTTTTCAAAAGAGACAAATTATTTTTAATTCCCATTTGAATTTTTTTCCAGTGCGGTTTGTACCTGTGGAGATCCCGGACAAAATCTGTGGTTGTGCATCAGAGTCATTGAGCCTCAAGCCAGGAAAGACTGTGACTGTGATCACAATGAATGGTAAGAATGGGAAGAATGTTTGTCTTGTTTCTTAAGATAGATGTTATTGAAGTTTCTTCTTGATAATATCCAACCCTTCTCAAAGACATGTGGGATAGCTTGTCTATTAAACCTTAACATGGGTATTGAGTAAAGAATACCAAATGTATTAAAAACACCTTGTCTGTTTTTCAAGGACGACATGAGCTAAGCATGCCAGAGTTGGCTTGTGAAGCATGCGCTGCGACATGGACGACTGGGGTTGACGACCTTCTTCGGAGTGACTACTGGCCAGCTACCCTTCACTTCGCCACCATTTATGCCACAGATGTTTTCTTCTCATTTGAAGAAATGAAAATGGCTGCACCTGGACTATCCTTTCAGGCATTTAAGGATGCTCGATCAGCGAACGTTGCGCTTCGGCCGTGTGAGTATTGAAGTTACTTGTCCTTTTTGATCTATTTGTATTGTACAAATTGTAAGCTGTGTCCTTATAATTTATAATTTATTTTTGACATTATCTGTTGATGTCCTTATTTTGTTATAGACTGGGAAGATCTCAACTGACAGCTTCATCAAAAGTTTCTTTGAGTGGGAGGCTGTGCGTTATGAGGTCGACATCATGTGCAAGGAGGAGCCCTTCACCTGTCCTGCGTGTAGCCCTGATATGCTTGCAGTTTCCGTGGATGGAAACCGCAAGCATTACCGTTTCAAGAATGCAGCTAGGTACTATAGAAAATATATAATGTCACAGTATTTGAACAAATAACGAAACAAAAGTATCTTGATGTGAACCAATCAACCTTATAATCTGAGATGTCATACATTGCTCCTTTGATTTATTTAGATCTGAGGAACAGGCCATCTTTGACGGTGTCTTTATAGCCAGGGATGAAGACGTCTCAAGATTTGTGGACTATATACACACCACAACCAAACATGTAATATTGCAGACTCTAATTATGTATAATATAATATCCTAATGAAGGGTTTGGTTAGGTTAGTCTTTGCACCATTTTCATCAATACATTTTTATATATTAGGTCTCCGGAAGAGGTGTTTGTGGAGGACAGTGGTCGGCAGCCAGAGAGACCTCCCAAAAATCAGCCGGCAAGCTGGATGAGGAGGGACTAGAGCTTGCCGTCTGTCGACATGGAGTGCTCCTCTGTGCTCTCAATATGTACAGGGGAGAAATCTTTGCTTATCCCTCTTAGGTGCCTTACAAACAATGGACGTCCACTCTCGGGAGCGTCGGAGTGGTGCGGTCACCCTAAGTGACAGACCTAAAGTATCCGGGATTCAGGCATCTTCCCTGGCTTGTACATTTTTGGTGATGCGCCCTGGAGGTATCAGACTATTTTAAACAACTTTTCCCCGCTTTTCAAACACTTATTCCGAGGTTTTAGCCAGTCATTTTGCACGAAATCATTTAACATTGACGGTCTCCTGAAAAAGCACATATTCTGTGCATTTTCAGGAGAGCGTCTATGTTAAATGATTTCGTGCAAAATGACTGTCTAAAACTCTCTTCCAGACATTTAAAAATACTTTCCCCGACCATTTAAACATTATTTCTGGCTTGTAAAGTGCAGTTATGCGCCCTGGAGATATTGCACTATTTACAAAATGTAGCACTCTGTTTATTTCACACCTCCAGGAGAGACCAGGGGGAAATCACCTCTCTCTGCCCCCTCACAGAGCCCCAAGGACGGACTAATTACCTCCAGCATGTCCCCATAACAGTGGGACTCTGTTTCTTTCACAGCTCCAGCAGAGACCAGGGGAAAATCACCTCTCTCTGCCCCCTCACAGAGCCCCAAGGACGGACTAATTACCTCCAGCATGGGCCCCTAACAGTGGGACTCTGCACCTCCAGCAGAGACCAGGGGGAAATCACCTCTTTTTGCCCGCTCACAGAGCACCGAAGGACGGACTAGAGACCTCCAGCACCAGTCCCTAACAGGGGGACTCTGTTTATTTCACACCTCCAGGGCGGAGACCGGGAAAATCACCTCTCTCTGCCCGCTCACAGAGCCCCAAGGACGGACTAATTACCTCCAGCATGGGCCCCTAACAGTGGGACTCTGCACCTCCAGCAGAGACCAGGGGGAAATCACCTCTCTCTGCCCCCTCACAGAGCCCCAAGGACGGACTAATTACCTCCAGCATGTCCCCATAACAGTGGGACTCTGTTTCTTTCACAGCTCCAGCAGAGACCAGGGGAAAATCACCTCTCTCTGCCCCCTCACAGAGCCCCAAGGACGGACTAATTACCTCCAGCATGTCCCCATAACAGTGGGACTCTGTTTCTTTCACAGCTCCAGCAGAGACCAGGGGAAAATCACCTCTCTCTGCCCCCTCACAGAGCCCCAAGGACGGACTAATTACCTCCAGCATGTCCCCATAACAGTGGGACTCTGTTTCTTTCACAGCTCCAGCAGAGACCAGGGGGAAATCACCTCTCTCTGCCCGCTCACAGAGCCCCAAGGACGGACTAATTACCTCCAGCATGGGCCCCTAACAGTGGGACTCTGCACCTCCAGCAGAGACCAGGGGGAAATCACCTCTTTTTGCCCGCTCACAGAGCACCGAAGGACGGACTAGAGACCTCCAGCACCAGTCCCTAACAGGGGGACTCTGTTTATTTCACACCTCCAGGGCGGAGACCGGGAAAATCACCTCTCATTGCCCGCTCACAGAGCCCCGAAGGACGGACTAATTACCTCCAGCATGGGCCCCTAACAGTGGGACTCTGCACCTCCAGCAGAGACCAGGGGGAAATCACCTCTTTTTGCCCGCTCACAGAGCCCCAAGGACGGACTAATTACCTCCAGCATGGGCCCCTAACAGTGGGACCTCCATAACCTTGCACACCCTGAGTCCCCGGGCCCCCACAGTTAAGCACTCCCCCACGGACTAAACACAGGTATTCACACCCACCAGAACCTCGTGCCCCTGGTGACCTTACAAGGGGGTGGTTTTATGGTGCTTCTGTGTCCGCCCATCAGCATCCATATTGGGCCTTCTTCACGGCATCACCCCCCCTTCTGTGGAGGGTATTCTCGTGCCCCTGGTGACCTTACAAGGGGGTGGTTTTATGGTGCTTCTGTGTCCGCCCATCAGCATCCATATTCGGCCTTCTTCACGGCATCACCCCCCCTTCTGGGCTGGAGGGTATTCTCGTGCCCCTGGTGACCTTACAAGGGGGTGGTTTTATGGTGCTTCTGTGTCCGCCCATCAGCATCCATATTCGGCTTTCTTCACGGCATCACCCCCCCTTCTGGGCTGGAGGTTCAAACACTTTAACTTTTGTTCACCCTCCTCTGGCTTACACCTCCTCCGCCAACACTTGAGCGCTCATCACAGGGTTCAGCACCAAGGAGAGTGCCTCCCCGGTGCTGATGGAAAGTGGCACTTTTTCTGCCCCTGGTAACCATCAAGGTTATTGTTTTTTTTTTTTTTTTTATTTTATTTGAACAAAAAACACAGTTGACAGTACAGAGAGGCTAAAACATAAACTATTTACACGTACTACTGCTACTATAACAGTACTACTAAATTTCTTAACCTACGTTTTAAAGTGCAGTTATGCGCCCTGGAGGTGTTGCACTATTAACAAAATGTATGCCCAGGATTCTGGCACCTTTCCTGGCTTGTAAAGTGCAGTTATGCGCCCTGGAGATATTGTACTATTTACAAAATGTATACACAGGATTATAATAATAATTATATACACGGTATACATATTCACAATGTTTAGCGGGATTCAGGGGACCAAATTAGGCGTCTAATTCTTACGGTGCACCAGGGCAAACAGGTTGAGTCCACGGCCCCTGCCCCATCATCAGGAGTGTCAACCAGCCCCGGTCCCGACTTCATTGGCCTCTTTCCCTCCCGCTTCCGCTTCCGCTGCTGCTGCCGCTCCAATGACCCATCAGGTGAAGATGATAGAGCTGTACTGTTATAGCAGCCCTCTTCGGAGGTCTCCCCATCTGACAGCGGTAGACATCCTTCTGATGATGATGCAGCTGCTGCCGCATCTGATGACGCCCTGAACATGGAGCGGATTCTCAATGCCTCCTTTATACCTGGCGCATTCGCGTAGAACCGGTCCGCCGTGGTTACGTCGTGACACATAAACCTGGCGAGAATCGACCGGCTTTCTGGATCTTGGTGATGCTTGATATTGTCAGCCAGGGCAGTGCGCAGGATTGTGAAGGTGACGGCTGTTTCTAGCCCAGCATCAGCCCATGCCCTCTTCAAGTGAGCGTTCAGGTTCTTGGAGGCCCGATTCCCCCTTGTGAAAAGGAAGAATTCATTCTGAGGACCCAGCAATGCCTCTTTAATCCCCATCCACCGCATGACCCAGCTAAACTCCTCTACTGTAAGCGCCAGCTGTGCTTCGCCATATGTCTTGGCCGTCTTGTGATCCTGCACATGGATGATGTAGCCCTCAGCAGTTCCCCTTATGGCTGCCTCTAAGACCTCACTGTTTTTCATGTTTGCGTACACGCCCGTACGGTGGCCATACAGGAGGCTCCAATGGAGGGTGAGATAGCCATAGAGAAGCTTCTGGGTGGTTGAGGTCGGCGTGCCGGCCATCAGGTCGAGGAGCTCCGGGATGCGCTTCTCAGCGGCCGCCATGGCGGCGAGAAGCTCCGCCTGGCTCGGCAGACGATCCAGTTTGTTCCTCTTCACCTTAAACTGATGTAGAGTGACTGCCTTATTCAAGTGTTTCATGTTGGCTTTCACCTCTCTCATTATGTGGGTCATATCAGACTGGGTGAGCTTGCACCCCCGGGGCTTTGACTCAGACATGTACCCCATGAACTGGTGCACATTCTTCAGGAAGAACTCTGATGTTGTGACTGCCCGGCCCGGCTTTACAATATACTCGCTCCAGCCACGGATCATCTTCATGTTTCTTAGGAACAGCCAGTCTGACAGGCGGTTAACACCATGGGCCATGTATACTATGAAGTTCTTTATCCGGCTGATCTTCGACACAACATTGTCTTTCTGTTTTACTGTCGGAGCGACACCCAAACAGTGATCCAAGTATGTCTGAAGGTACGCCTCCATGCTTCTAGGCAACGTGATTTCACGCATGGTATTCCCCCGTCCACACCCAGTGGACCAGTAATTTGAGGGAGAGGGCAAGTCATTAGCCAGCTTAGAGGCACGGGTCTTCCGGCATACAGGGGTCTCGCTACCGGAGGCTACTGCAAACATGACAGTTTCCACCGGGGTCTTCACAGGGGTCTCGCTACCGGAGGCTACTGCAAACATGACAGTTTCCACCGGGGTCTTCACAGGGGTCTCGCTACCGGAGGCTACTGCAAACATGACAGTTTCCACCGGGGTCTTCACAGGGGTCTCGCTACCGGAGGCTACTGCAAACATGACAGTTTCCACCGGGGTCTTCACAGGGGTCTCGCTACCGGAGGCTACTGCAAACATGACAGTCTTCACCGGGGTCTTCACAGGGGTCTCGCTACCTGGAGGCTACTGCAAACATGACAGTCTTCACCGGGGTCTTCACAGGGGTCTCGCTACTGGAGGCTACTGCAAACATGACAGTCTTCACCGGGCTCTTCTCAGGGGTCTCGCTACCGGAGGAAACTGGTAATATGACAGTCTTCACTGGGCTCTTCACAGGGTTCTTGACCGGTCTCTTTCCACCGGAGGCTACTGCAAGCATGACAGTCTTCATTGGGCTCTTCACAGGGTTCTTGACCGGTCTCTTCCCACCGGAGGCTACTGCAAGCATGACAGTCTTCACCGGGCTCCTCACAGGGGTCTCGCTACCGGAGGTTACTGGGGACTGCATGACAGTCTTCACCGGGCTCTTCACAGGGGTATTGCTGCCTGAGGCTACTGTGTTTATGCCGGAGGTATTTGGGATTGCCAGGCCCTTAAATCGTATACATTCGTCCTCTTCCTCAAGAACAGCAGCACTCTGCTTCCTGGGTTTTAGCTCCTTTTTCAGCCTGGAGCGCAGGGTCTTCACCTCATCATTGAGGGCATCCTTCTGAGCCCTCAATGCCACATTTTCCAGCATCACCTGCCTGCAGTCCTCGTTGTCACACTCGGTATGTGGGGAGAAGGGTGGAGGGTGCCCGGGGTATTCCTCCTCATTGTCTATATCCAATGATGTAGCCATTCCAATGATGGGGTTAGTCTCACGGAGGTCATGGAGCAACTGCAGTGCCACACTATGCTTCAGCCTTGCCATGACCTGATGTGCCTTATGTCGGGACAACTCAGGGTGGTCATGTTTTACATGACGGTCCAGTCTCTTCCCAGCGTACGAACACCCAGCGATGGGACAGGGTTTGGTCCGAACATTTATCCTTCCACTGGCTATTTTCAGGAGGATTCCCCTCTCCTCCAAGTTCCGCACTGCATGCTTGTGCTTAAGGTGTTTGTTCAATGCCAGATAGAAGAGTCTGCACACCGGGCATTCAGATGACATCCTTCCTGAAACACACATAATGATTTTGATCAAAATTATGTTATAGTTCTCCGTTTATATGCGTTAGCGTGAGCGGTGGTTGCGACACTGGGTCCGATGCATCAATTCATGGTGCATGGACGAAGGGAAGTATTGGGTTACCACCGGGTCAGATGGTCCCACTTCCGCACCAACGCGGGGCTGGTGATGGCAACATTGGGTCCGATGCATCAATACATGGTGCCCCGACCATGAGAGGGTTTGGGGTACCCCGGAACCAGGCACCACCCCAGCAGGAAACGGGTTGTATGGTCAAAGGAGGAAAGAGTGATAGAACCGGGGTAAAGCAAAGAAAGTGTCCGACAATAGTGACTTGTGAGGCGGCCAGAGAGTCTGTCATATCTCGGTCCTATCCTCCAGGCAACGCTGTGGCCAAAACTGGGCTAAAAACTAAAAAAACTAAAAAATATTTCATCCAGGGAAATTTGGGTGAAAATGAAAAAAAAGTACCCCAAAATAGTCCTTCATTAGCCAGCAGCAGTCCCCTGTCGACTCATGTGACATTCCTCCAGGGTTACATAGAACCAGGGTGTGGGCTCCGAGCCATCTCCGAGACATCTCTAGTCCGTGTTGATAATGGGGGAAATGTACCCCAAAATAGTCCTTCATTAGCCAGCAGCAGTCCCCTGTCGACTCATGTGACATTCCTCCAGGGTTACATAGAACCAGGGTGTGGGCTCCGAGCCATCTCCGAGACATCTCTAGTCCGTGTTGATAATGGGGGAAATGTACCCCAAAATAGTCCTTCATTAGCCAGCAGCAGTCCCCTGTCGACTCATGTGACATTCCTCCAGGGTTACATAGAACCAGGGTGTGGGCTCCGAGCCATCTCCGAGACATCTCTAGTCCGTGTTGATAATGGGGGAAATGTACCCCAAAATAGTCCTTCATTAGCCAGCAGCAGTCCCCTGTCGACTCATGTGACATTCCTCCAGGGTTACATAGAACCAGGGTGTGGGCTCCAAGCCATCTCCGAGACATCTCTAGTCCGTGTTGATAATGGGGGAAATGTACCCCAAAATAGTCCTTCATTAGCCAGCAGCAGTCCCCTGTCGACTCATGTGACATTCCTCCAGGGTTACATAGAACCAGGGTGTGGGCTCCGAGCCATCTCCGAGACATCTCTAGTCCGTGTTGATAATGGGGGAAATGTACCCCAAAATAGTGCATCATGACTCAGCAATCATCACACTCAACTTTGGTGAGAACCGGGCAAAGGGGTCAAAATCCGTCAATGTGGGGGGTGAAACGGCTGTACGCGAGCCCTGGGGGGGGCACCCGGGACCGGGCAGTGCCCCCGGCAGAAGGAACCGGGTCAAACGGGCCAAAACAGGAAAAAAAATAAAAATAAAAAGAACCAGGCAAAAGGGGGGAAAATGGGAAAAAAGTGTCCGAAAATAGTGCCTCATGACCCCGCAGGAGTCCCCCGCGGACTCCCCTGACATTCCTCCATGGTCGAAATCATCCAACTCAACTTTGGTGAGAACCGGGAAAAGGGGTCAAAATGTAAAAATTGTACCCCAAAATAGTGCCTCATGACCCCGCAGGAGTCCCCCGCGGACTCCCCTGACATTCCTCCATGGTCGAAATCATCCAACTCAACTTTGGTGATAACCGGGCAAAGGGGTCAAAATGTAAAAATTATACCCCAAAATAGTGCCTCAAAATCGGGTAGAGTCACCTGGAAAGTGCCCTCGCATTCCTCCATGGCTCAAAATGTCGAACTTAAACTATTTGGAGAACCAGAGAAATGTAAAAAATACGCCCCAAAATAGTGTCTCAAAATCGGGTAGAGTCACCTGCAAAGTGCCCTCGCATTCCTCCATGGCTCAAAATGTCGAACTTAAACTATTTGGAGAACCAGAGAAATGTAAAAAATACGTCCCAAAATAGTGTCTCATAATCGGGTAGAGTCACCTGCAAAGTGCCCTCGCATTCCTCCATGTCAAACTTTAAGTATTGAGAGAACCAGGCTGGGGGGTCCTTGCGCCACAAAATTAGGCCCACTCAAAGTGCTTGGTGAGCGGATACATTCTTCCATGATTTGCAACAGCCGTTATTTTTCTGAGTGCACCCAAAAACTGGGTTTCCGATTTCGTGCAGACGGTAGTTTGAAAAGTATGGATGAATCTTTTTAACAGAGAAGTGGAAATGAAGCCCAGGGACTTTTTCCCCTTCTCCGTTGTACCAACCATCGGAGAAGGGGAAAAATCGGCCTGAAGCGCCAATAGTCTGGCCCCTTCTCCCGTTGGCACTCTGTCATTTTTTTGACAATTTTTCAAAACTTCATTTTTGATTATTTTAAGTTATAATTAAGCGTTTTCTTCAATTTTTTTTGCTTTCCACGGGTGGGGGCGCCTGGCAGGCCGCCTATGAGCACCCAAATTCGGCCTGGATCATCCAGGATTTGTGGGCTAAGCTCCATAAACTGACTAAATCACCCAGAGAGGTCACCTTTCTAGCCCAAATATATATAATACAAATACATTTAAATAGTAAAAGGTGCACTTGTGCTCTGCATTACCCGGAATTTTATTTTCATAGCCCCATGATAGTGATTAAAAATCATTTTCATGGGAAAAAGTGTTAAAACGCCTGATTAAATTATATGCAGGACCCCAGTGAGCTCCAGACTATGTGCATTGTGTTGGGGAACCATATAAATGATAGAATAAATGCATTTAAATGCAAAAATAATGATTTTAAATCATTTTAGGGGGACAATTGTGGAGAGGAGCCTGAAAATGACTCTGCAGCAGGCTGCCTATGAGCACCCAAATTCGGCCTTCTTCACGGAACCACGACCCCTTCTGTGGAGGGTATTCTCGTGCCCCTGGTGAGCACACAATGACCCAGGAAAGAGTCTTCAAAACACAGGTAAAACTGTGTTAAACAGTGGGGTAACATGTTTGAAATGACAGCACACTGCTGCTTGTTGGCAGCCTGACTCACTTGACTTGTCTCACACACACCCAGGGGGGGAGAAAGAGGACACATTGACCCAGGAAAGAGTCTTCAAAACACAGGTAAAACTGTGTTAAACAGTGGGGTAACATGTTTGAAATGACAGCACACTGCTGCTTGTTGGCAGCCTGACTCACTTGACTTGTCTCACACACACCCAGGGGGGGAGAAAGAGGACACATTGGAGCACAGAATGACCCAGGAAAGAGTCTTCAAAACACAGGTAAAACTGTGTTAAACAGTGGGGTAACATGTTTGAAATGACAGCACACTGCTGCTTGTTGGCAGCCTGACTCACTTGACTTGTCTCACACACACCCAGGGGGGGAGAAAGAGGACACATTGACCCAGGAAAGAGTCTTCAAAACACAGGTAAAACTGTGTTAAACAGTGGGGTAACATGTTTGAAATGACAGCACACTGCTGCTTGTTGGCAGCCTGACTCACTTGACTTGTCTCACACACACCCAGGGGGGGAGAAAGAGGACACATTGACCCAGGAAAGAGTCTTCAAAACACAGGTAAAACTGTGTTAAACAGTGGGGTAACATGTTTGAAATGACAGCACACTGCTGCTGGTTGGCAGGCTGACTCACTTGACTTGTCTCACACACACCCAGGGGGGGGAGAAAGAGGACACATTGACCCAGGAAAGAGTCTTCAAAACACAGGTAAAACTGTGTTAAACAGTGGGGTAACATGTTTGAAATGACAGCACACTGCTGCTTGTTGGCAGGTAAACATTGTTTAATTGTTTAAGTGTTTTTAAATGTATGGAACAGTGTTTTGTCTCTTTCAAAACTCTCCCGTCATTGGCCGGATACATGGGGACGATTTTATATTCACTATGACCGTTACTATTCCAGTGAGACGAAGTACGTCCGGTGACAGGAGTGATCCCATGTTAATTTTGTCCAAAAACCAGAGCATTCCCTTATCCCCTGTACCTACAGAAAAAGCTGGCCAGTAGTATGTTCTTTTGCATGGATGTGACCTGCAAATATTGGCCCTACCTCCAGAGAATCACAAAAAGCTGTCCAGAGCTCCAGCATCTTCTCGACATGAAGCCCTTTCTCTCAGTGTTTCATGCCAAAGTGCATGACTTCAAATGTGAAGTAAGGAATTGTTACCATGTGACACAATCACTTTATGTAAAAACCTCCTTGTGAATAGTGACAAGTTGTAACGAGTCGTACTTTTGAATATATTTTAAACAGGTGAAATGGAGTGGGGCATATCAAGAGGGGGCTGGACTAACCCTAGGGGAGGAGGTGGAACAGGTCAATGCCTTCCTCTCTCGGATAGCAGTGACCACAAAACACATGTCAAAAGCAGGTGAGTTACGATAGAACCTTTACTGTCAGTTTTCAAAAAATGTTCAGAAAGGCACAGATTACACTAACAAATTACACCAACAACAGAAACTCATAAAAGCTCATTGACGGTTATGACCATAGAACACCATTTAGGATGGCAATATAGTATAAACCCCAGTTACAGTATAAGAAGTAAGAGGAATAGTAATAATGTGATATTCTCTTTTGCAGGACGTACAGACATGCTGACGCTGATGGCCATGCGCTGGAATCAGCAAAAAGTCAGCAACTTGGCCACCTCACTGTCCCGCAGATATCTGAAGGTAATAACATAGTTTTAGAAGAATTATTTGTGGCTGCAGCCTAAATGTAGATTTCTGTATTTATTTGTCTTTAATTGTTTGACGTTTGTAGACCACAAAAGCTCTGGAAAAGCAATTGCAGAACCTGGAGTCCATGAAGGCTGAGTTGGCAGTGACTGAAAAGCAGCTGGAAGACTGGATCAGAGATGTGAATGAGTGGGCAGAAAGTGAGGACAATCTTAATGACGTTTTTCAACTTTTTTGTAGTCATGATTTATCAATTTATTTTAAATCTTCAGAATTAGTGATAACCCTCTATTGACATTTGCATTACTTATTTTTCATGAAGCATATGTAATAAAATAATATTAAAACATTTGATCAAATGTCACTGTTATTGTGAATTACTGTGCTTAATACACCTATTTCCTCTAAAAAGCAACAACAAACAACCCAAGGGATGCTGCTGCCTTGGCCAGCAAGATCGAAATGCTGACAGTAAGTGTCAAGAGACGTTCGCAGCGTCTCTACAAAGACACAGACAGCAACAAAGGTCGTTCCCGGATCCGCCGCAAGATCAGGGATGAGAAAGGGGTCCTGACAGCCACAGTTGAGAAATACAACTCAATGGGTCCAAGCACAGAAGCGCTGTGCCTCGAAGCCATTCTGTCTGTGGAGAAAGCTTGGCCATGGCAGCTACCAAACAGTGGTAAGTACACCAGTCTGCTGAATGCTCACAGCAAATGTGGAAAACCTTCATGTCTGATATATAAATCTATTTAAGACTTCATAGATTCTTTGAATGTTGATCTTTCATACACATTCATTCATGTTTTCTCATAAATGCTTTCCAGACTCTTTCGACCTCAGGACAAAGAGAAGAGCATTCGACCTTGTCATGGCAGTGAAGAGACTACAGGAGGAGAAGAAGATTCTCGTCACAGAAATGAACCAACACTGGAAGGTCCTTTCAACCCGCAGTGATTCCCTGAAAAAGATGTCCTGCCTGCAAAGTACAGTATATATTACATTTTTACTTTGCATGACTTTACACATCAGTGATAGGTGATGAAGTAACTCATATTGTCTTTATCTTATACATTTAAGATTCACCATTGGGCCTGAGCGAAGACGGGATGAAAGGTCTCCAGAGCATGTTTAGGAAAAAGCAGCACGACATCGGAGAAATGAAGACTCATGCTAGACAATGCTATCTGCAGCTTTTGACTGGAGCAGAGACCATCAGCTTCTTGCAAAGTCTTTCAGATGAGTCTTCTGACTGCGACTCTGACAGCTCTGATGACACACGGTGAAGCCCCCTCCAGACTACCTTCTATTTAACATCTACATGCTCCCCCTCTGTGAAATACTCCGCCAACATGGTCTCAACTTCCACTCCTATGCCGACGACACCCAACTCTACATCAGTACCAATCCATCATCCCAGCTGTCACTAGTCAACTGCCTCCGCAACATCCAAACCTGGATGTCAACAAACCTACTGAAATTCAACAAAAACAAAACAGAGCTCATGGTTGTGGCCCCAAAAACACTGCTCCGGGAGGTTGGAGATCTGCTCCTCACCGTCGATGGCTGCTCCATCCAGCCTGGGCGTCACTCTGGACTCTAGCCTCACCTTCAACTCCCACATCAGGTCTACTGTCAAAACTGCTTTTTTTCACCTTCGAAACATCTCCAGACTCCGGCCCTCTCTCCCCGACCCCGTTGCAGAAACATTAATACATACTTTCATCTCCTCACGCCTGGACTACTGCAATGGAGTTCTGTTCGGGGTCACCTGCAAAGCCCTGGACAGGCTCCAGTACGTCCAGAACTCTGCAGCCAGGCTCCTCACCCACACCAAGCCCTGGCAACACATCACCCCCATCCTCCTCCACCTTCACTGGCTCCCGGTCAAGTCACGCATCCAGTACAAACTCCTCCTGCTAACCTACACATCTCTCCACTCCCTAGCCCCTGCATACGTCTCTGACCTCTTTCAGCCCTACACCCCCTCTCGTCAGCTGCGGTCCTCCAAAAAAAAAAAAATGACACATTTCTTAATGTCTTAATATGTATGTCCAGTAAGTTATTCTTCCGGTTGTTGATATGCTGTTGAAGGCATTTTCTATCATTTCATTTTATTCAGATGTTATTACATGTCTACTCTGAAACACTATGTAAACAAGGTCCCATAACAATAAAGTTGATAAAAATTGTTTTGACTGTTCACTCATGTTCTGTTTGTATCTCTGTTTAGCAAACACACATACTGATTAGCACCATGAGGGGGCAGATACACCTTTTTGTCTGATGTTTTAAAATATGTGCAATAATATAGCTATATCCTGTATATATCACATTTAAAACAACCTTCAGTTGACCAAAGTGCTGTACAAGCAATAACTACAATATTAAATAACACAATGGGAGTACAATAATAAAACAATAATTAAAAACATGATAAAAAGCACAATAACTAGAAATTTTTTTTTTAAACATACAAATGTAAAAATGTAATGTTCAACTAGTATTAAAAGTAATGACTAACATGAATAAAACATCTTCAGGTGTTATATATACATATCTGTCCTACACTAATAATGAAACAGATAAAATGGCATTGTATTCTGTGTACCTCATTTGTTTGATCCTCATAAATTACCTTTCAAACACCTCATCAGTTGCCTGTTTTTGACTTAGCCTACATAATTAGCCTACACCTGGTACAATGCCTTAGCCTCATATAGTCCATATTTAGCTTGATAATGGTAGTTAGATATGTAAATTAACATAATGTGTTTTTGATAGCATTGTATACCATGTGTACTTTATACGTCTGTATTATTCACCTAGTGGTTAAAGCACGTTATTACACGTTTACAGTCATTGCAATGCCGGTAAGGTTGTGTTGCTAATCTCTGCTGCATGTTTTGTTGAATGGGTTACATTTGATGAAAACATTTAAATATTAAGAGTACATACAAATAGGGGGAAAGTAGAAGGTCAATGATAGAAATATAGAATAGAAATATAGAATAGAAAATATCAACAAGATAGGCTACTGTAAGTGATCTCTACAATAAAAGTTTAGTGCCGGATGTACACAGATATTAATAGGAGGATGTGCAAATCAGGCAAACTAATCAGGCTTTATTAAAACATTAAATAATACTTTAAGTTAAGGTCTTTTAAATACATGTAAGCAAAAAGCTTTGGTAAATCTACAGATAAATATTAAGCCTGACAAAGTACTTAAAGTCTAATATTCAGGGTTGCCAACTTTGGGTACCTGGCTGGAGTGAGATTTTGATATCATGGGTTTAATTACACATATGCGCACTAAATGACTGCTATCATGTCAGTAGCGGGACCTTAGCATATATATTGGATATATATACAATATATGCAAATACACAATATTGGACACAGACTATAAAGGGCACAAAGTTTCATTCACTAATGAAAGTCAAACACATGTTTGTTTCCACTATTTTATTGTGCCTGTAAGCAAAATAAGCAAATAATTGACTTATCGTACGATAAATAAAAATGAACTCGATAAATTGCCATTTACATGAGGATGTGACTAGCAGTTTGAAAGGATGTACTTGAATTATTATTATATATTATCATTATGTCAGTGGTCTAAAATGGTCATACAACGGTGCCGACAATATTATCGTTTATCGCAATCATTTCCGGGAAAATGTATCCAACAAAATAAATTATCGTGAGAGGCCTATACATGAAACACACACACACACACAAATCTACAGACTTACTCCAAACTGCCAAATATATTAATTAACACACTCTCACTCTCATATACTCTTTGACTCTATGTCGGCCTAGTAGAACAATAAGCAGCAGACTTTTACTTTTTATCATTTCTACTGGATCTCAGATCTGCGCATGCGCAATACGGGTCGGGGATTGACCAACCGGCTCCCACTGCTCTGCTGTCTGTTAACGTTGTTAAGAGTGGTGGGGGCGGGGAGGGAGCGGATTGACAGCTTGAGCAGCTGTCAACTCAACATTGTAAATAACCAACCAAAAAGGATCGCCGGTTCATCTTGTTTTTGGCGTGAGAATAGTTTGGGCAGCGTGAGAGCGTGAGATTGAGAGTGAAAGCGTGTGTCACACGCCAGATGCGTGAGAGTTGGCAACTGCATAATTTGTTTTGGGACTTGACAATCAACTTTCCTGCAATGTTAACTACGTTTAAGCACTTATTTTAACTGACATTACATATTAATTATACTCTTATAAGATGTATGTAGATAGTATAAGAAATGTGCAGAATATGACTGTTTAATGGTGGAGGTATAAACATATTGATAGATCTCTTGTAATGCACTGTTGACGAACCTGCGAGGTTTGTCATTCATTGCATAACTACACCGTAGTTGTGTATATGATATGTCAATAAACCTTAGAACATCTTGAAAGGGATGTGCCAAATAGGTTAAGGTTACCCTCTGAATTGTGGTGGAGTAGAATTACAAAGTAACAATAAATACTGCTGACAGTTAATGTATCAACGTCTCCATTACAAGTTTCAAAAACTAAACCTTTCTTATTTACACTATTGTCTTTGATTTATTTCCCAAATTATGTTTGTGAATTTAATGATTGTCAAATACAGTTCAACTGGGGAGTAAAACTGTTATAGCAAACCAGATAAGTCACATGTTGACCTGACAAATCTACATTTTCAAATAGTGCTTTTAACAGGAGCCAAATTGTGCTACATTTCAGGTGAATACTTTGATAGTAGGTTTAGAATAAGTTTCTAGGTTTTAACATAATGTTTCTCATATGGTCCGTTGCTGCAGAACTGTCACATATCGTCTTTTAGAGATGCTCCTGATGTTCCGGTCCCTGGCATTTAGAAGATCTGGTCTGCGTTTCCACGTTTTGGGGCAAATTCAAATTGTACCAGTATTATTCATGACATATACAGAAGACCATAACAAAAATTGATATCTATCTTGTGTTTTAAGACTGAGGCAGCCCGAAAATAATGATTGTCACATTTGCATTAACATACCAAAAACTAAAACATTTTAAATGGCTTTACCCTATTGAGAAATAATTGTACAAAAAATACACAACAGAAACAACAATTTATTGAAAAAATGTATTGAAAAAATGTATTGTGTGTGTGTGTGTGTGTGCGTGTGTGTGTGTGTATGTGTGTGTGTCTGTGTGTGTGTGTGTGTGTGTGTGTGTGTGTGTGTGTGTGTGTGTGTGTGTGCGTGTGTGTGTGTGTGCGTGTGTGTGTGTGTGTGTGTATGTGTCTGTGTGTGTGTGTGTGTTGTGTGTATGTGTGTGTGTGTGTGTGTGTTTGTGTCTGTGTGTCTGTGTCTGTGTGTGTTATTATGTTGAGCTGCTATAGTTTTGGGCAGGCTCCCATGTGTCCTCCCAGTCCTTGCCACTGCAAAACACACATAAAGGACAGTTGAATAATTATTAATATGTCATGCTATATATATTTCTGATGCTTAATCAGGCAAGTAAGTCAATTTAAAATAGGATTTGAAACATTAGCTTCAGCTCAATGTCCCTCTTCGACTCCTCTCTCCCCCTCCTCCGGGACTTGACCCGGAAATCAATCAAGACACGCCATGTTGAAGGACGTCACAATCGCTTCAACGCAAACGGAGGAGTCGAGGAGGGATGAGGGAGGAGGCTTCCAGAGGAGACGAAAGGTAGGATACACGAGAGCACACTACTCGCGCATCAGACCTCCGCCCCCAGCTGCACAGCCTCTGCTCACTGCAGCTGATCTTACCGTTAAAGGAGGATCAGAGTCATTAAATGTTTAAAGTGCTTCATTAAGAGTAAAATATATTAAATCTCTTAAACGAATCAGGAGATCGAACTCTATAAAGACATTAAAGTGTGTGAAATATACTTACAAATTCTATAATAATTTTTTGATTATAAAATAATAACGTACTGTTCTTACTTGTGGTTTGTGATGCATGTGTGGTAGACCCACAGCACGTCAAACATTTAGGATATATACAAATACGGGTAGCATAACTAATACATATGTTAGTGATTTGTGTCTCTCTTCTGTAGGACAAATTACATAACAACATACAATACAAAAGTATTCAATTGAGATGAGCCTACTGTATCAGTGTATAAACCCTTTGCTTCCAGTACAACACATACATGTATGGTCATTAAGGAAAAACTTACCACTTGGAGCATGGTGTCCAGCGAATTTTCACTTCTTGTCTTTGCTGAAAGGCATGATATGAAATGGACAGAAATATTAATGAGAGATACTTTACAAAGT